CGCCTGTAATTTCAGCGTTTGGGAGGCTGAGGCACGCAGATCCAAAGTTCAAGTCCAGCCTGGGCAAATTAGTGAGCGATTGTTTCAAAATAAAAAACGTATATATATACAGTTATAAAAAGGGCTTGGTGGGCCCGGGAGACAGCTCAGTGGCATAAGCGCCTGTCTGGCATGCACAAGGTCCTGGGATCCCTAGTACCACCAAAAGGAAGGAAGGAAGGAAGAAAAAAAAGAAAAAGGGATTGGGAGCCGGGAATGATGGTGCACGCCTGCAATCCCAGCACTCCGGAGGCAGAGGCAGGAGGATGTAGCGAGTTCAAGGCCAGCCTGGGCTACAAAGTGAGCTCAAGCCAGCCTAAACTACATGGTGAGACTGTCCAAAAAGATAGACAAAAATAAATAAAGGCATGGGGGTGTATCTCTCTGTGGTAACTCTTGGTTCAACAAACAAAAACCGCGAACAGAGAGCATGAAGAACCTGTAATGAACTCAATGTAGGTTGAGCGGTACTGGGGCATATTTGCTTCTAATTTTGGCTGCTTCCGTGTCACATCTTTTGCACCCTTAAAAACTTTGGTGACCCTGAAAGTTCTTTTCCTGTACTACCACAGTATTATTTACACTCCTAAGAGGCTTAACAATAATACCTTTAATAGCATCAAATACTGGCTCAAGTGCAGATTTCAGGAGGTGAGGGGGAGCTTCAGACTTCGGGTATATACTACCTGATTATCTCTAGGTTTTTTTTTTGTTTTGTTTTTTTTTTGAGACAGGGTCTTGCTGTACAGTTCTGGCTGGGTTTAAACATATGTAGTCCAGGCTGGTGGGGAACTCAAAGCGATCCTCCTGCCTCAGCCTCTGGAGAATTTGTACACATTTACATTCGCACTGCTACCACACTGACTTTCCTTTTTCTGCAACACCAAAAATAATTTATCTTCCATGATTTGATCAAAGGAAATGGTGAGAAATTACTTTTAGTACGTTTGCAGTACATAGCGATTA